GATTGAAGATGAAGATGAAGATGAAGATGAAGATGAAGATGAAGATGAATGATAAAGATGAAGATAAATATAGGCAGACTGTTATTATTAATAATATTGAATTAAACAGTTTGTGTCTTATTTTAGTTGCAACAATCTACTAGTTAATATTGTATACATGGATGTTTTCTCAGGCAAAAATAATAATTAAACTTTGCAGTTGGTTATAAAAAAAAAATTAAAGGTCGGTAAAAAAATTTTAAATAAATATGTTTTTTGCATATTAGAAAATATGTAGATGTGTATGTATATCGCACATTTCTTTCTTGCATTTCCTCTATTAAGTTTCACTTCTTGCGCGTGAAGGGACTACACGCACTGAGTTTTTCTTATCAATCCGAGATAGATTAAAACAACATGTGTGAGACAACCGAAATCAGAAGGAACTAGGCCAAACACCTAGGAAAGGATGAATGCGGCTATTAATTTCATTTTTGTGAACTTATGTACAATTATAAACATACATATTTAAACTAAAAACTTAAACATTTCTTCATTAGCAAATAAATCTAGAAACATATATAATTTCACACAAGTACTTAATTTAAGTTATCAAAACATATTGCAAATTTACAATAATATTGTTTTAAATTTTTCTAATTTTTAGATAATCTTGCTTTTTCAAACTACTGATTGCTTTATTCCGGACGCAGAAAAAAAGTAAGGATTAATTAATTTTTTAAATTTCCGTGAATAAAATGAGGAATAAAAAGATCTACATGACGAATGTACTAATATGAAATAAGTATAAAAGGCAGGTTTATGAACAACGCATAAAGAATTTACAGAATACAATTTGCGTATGAGTATATGCGGATAAAGCGATAAAATAAATAAAAAAGATACTCTTAAATATAATTTAAGGGAAAGTGTACATATAAAAATATTTACATTGCAACTAGAAGGCTGAAAATTTTATAATTCATGGTAATATTACGGAAGCGAGAGAGGATGATAATAAAAGAAGAAAATATATTATTACGGATATAGTGGAGACAACGGATAAGTCAACACAACCAAATATAAGCTGAAAAAAGAGACTGACTAACACATTAAGCTTTTTATGGAGTCTAAGTAGAGTCTAAGACCAAAATAAATCAAAATCAAAATTTAGTTAATGGGAAAGTAAAAAGACACAGGCCAAGCCACAACTGATCGCACCTTTTTTCAATATTCTGAAAGTCATTTGCTAAAGCGACACTGCATTTAAAAATTCGGTGTTTTTGTAAAATAAAGTTACAATAAACAAAATGTTAAATCAATTTAAATGTCTTGAAGCTACTTCTACTGTAATTAACAATAACAATCAAACGATGTCAACGACCGGCAATAGCGCTAATACAAATGATTCTAGCAGCTGTGAACTGCCTTATCCAAAACTAATAAAAACAGAGCCTATTGATTTAGAAATGACATATGTTGAACCAAATGACTTAAAGCAATATCGCCTGGACAACGTTATAGAAAAAAATGTAATGAAGGAGCAGAATGTCAGTGATACTACACCTAAATCCCTCTCTTCTACGAAAATTAATTACCAACATGTGCAGATACAAACAGTGCAACCAAGACAGCCTGGGATTGGTTTAACCAACACAAATACTATGCAAAAGATTATTTTAACTCCACGAGTAGATTTCGTTCAACGACCTACTTCCACCAGTAATATAGAAGGTGAAGGGGGTACAATTATAAGACATGTTTACTCACCACAATCCAACACAAGGGATCAAACTCAATCGCAGCAAACCGTTACCAACACAAGTGCACAGATTGTACAACGCGTTTCCCAATCCGAGCAACAAGATTCTATTGCTGCACCGCAAATTATTATAACTCGATCTTTGCCTATGCAACGTCGGCATTCTGGTAGTCCTTCACATTATCAGCGCAATGCTCCCAACACTTCGAATTCTGTACTCACTTCTTCATCCTCCTCTCAGCAGTCTCTTCAAGAGTATGCTTCACACCGTTCGCCACAACCATCTCCACCTCCGTTGTTGCTACAGCAACATGTTCGGGTTATAAGAGATGGTCGATTGCACGAAGAAACGGCGTCCGGATCGGTTGTGACATCTCGTCGTTCGGTTTCCCCTCCTCCGTTATTACATCATCACCAATCGCGTTCTGCACCTGTTTCTCCGGTAGTAACGCGACGTTATTCTATTTCACCTCACACCACACCTGCATTATCCCTATCGCAACAAAAATCATCTGAAAATCATCAGCGGCATTCACAACTTGTCATAAACAATAGTAAACCACAGATATCCGACATTTCAGGACAATATCAGGGCCATATACTGCATTCACCTCCGCTGCCACCGCCTCCACCACCTCCACCGCCGCAACAGATATCATCAGCAATAGCTGCTACGACGCCATCCACCCAAATAATGATCAATACTCCTTTGGGCACAAATGGCCAGCAACATCAGCAGTACGTTTTATCATCATCTGCCCGGAAATACCTCGTTACAACAAGCACTCGTCAGTCATGTTCAATGTCTGTAACGAGTTCTCCTCGTCAACAACAGCACATTCATTTTGCTCAACAAAAACATCAGCACTCACAACGATATCATCAAGAGGAAAATACTTTATCTCAAGCGGTACCGGCTGCGTCATCTTCAATGTCTACCCTCACACGAAACTTTCGAATGCCTGTGGTTACCAGTAGTATTAGAAGCAATAACAATAACAGCAACGATCTTCATTTTCAAAATCACAGCAACACTGCCATGCGTCCACCGCCTCCGCCGCCACCAAAAATCAAAAACACTTCCTCTTCTTCCGGTTTGCCCAGTAGCAGCAGTGGGGCTGGCACCACTTTAAGTTGCGCCAGTAGTGAAGAGCCATCCAGCTCGATTCCGGATTTAGGTAAGTTTTAGTAATATACATATATATGTAAATAAAATTCCTGGATATTTCCAAGATCCCAGAAATCATGGACCATATTCATATTAAGAATAAAGTCGACTCTAAAGTTAGATGCAGAGTTTTGTCATAATTTTCAATGGAATGCTGTCAAAAAAGCTGCAGCTAACTTTAGAGTCAACTTTTTCTCCACCAAGAATATGCCCCTATGTTATTTTTAACCTACTTCAAGAACTCAGGAAGGTTATCAATTCATCGGAATATATTTAAAAAGAAAAAATTATTTATTTTTTTACGTATGTATGGGCACGTTCAGAAGGCGCAACAGCTCAGTAACTGTTGCGATTGCACCTTCGGAACGCGTTGTTTTGTACTTCTGATCAACTGAACAGTTTCGTGTTAGATGATCGTAATGTTTTTCTGATCATTTGAGACAACATGTTGTGTGTTTTGAATTTGATAGATAATCAAGCCGTGCAGAAGACGCATTCCTATCACTGATTTTTTTAGCAACGGTTGCACTCAACTGCTGCATCTTCTGAAACTACCCTATGCATGCATGAACAAATTAGAAATAACATTTCTCCATTACTTTATCTTTGAAAGAGGAAATTGTATTCAATATTTCTTCGTTCGTAACTTCATCTTTTCAAAACCATTTCATCTTTGTTTCACAGTTTTACTTCGTGAATATGATTTATGCTTAAAAGGAGAATTCGCTGCAAGCAACTCTCTCATGAAGTGTTGCGCCTATCTGCAAGAATCGGTATACAATCTACCTTTAGGTATACTGATTGATTGCAAGTTTTAATAACGTCTAGGAATGTTGTTAGACTATGCTCCGTAGGTACATTGAAAAAATTCCTGTAAAGAAACCGAATAAGTGAATTTATCACACCTTTTAATTGCCGTATAAGTAAACTTTCAAAATCAACTGTCAAAATTTGAATGGAAACTCGTTTAAAAATTTCTGATAAATTTAGCTAACAATTTCACGGAACAATCTTGATAAACTGAAGCCAATGCAATTCTATCGCAAGTGTAAACGAAAAGAGAGTATTAGACGTTCATGTAACAGATATTAATTTAAATATCGGTACTGAAACGCTGAAGTATAAGCATAGCATTTAAATTTGAAATGTAGAAAATTACCTTTGTCATATTTTAACAGATGACAATTGAAATTTCAAAATTCGTTTGGTTGAAGGCGTAAATTTAAAAGTAGCATCCGGTGTCCACGGGTTTTCAAGGAGTTCATAATTGCCGTTATCGCTTAGTTTACGACGAAAAAAATTTGACACATCATTAAGCGGAATCTGGAAGAATGTGAATATATAATTGGGTCGCCTGGAATGTAAAACATGATTTTCGGGATGTAGAGGGTTTTGAAATTACCGGCATCTTGAAAACAATGCTGGACAAAACTTTTTAGAACTTATGTCCATTCAAGGTGCAAGTTTGAAGTAGCCTGGACTTGCCGTTGATTTTTTTTGTTCGCGCGTTTTCTTCCATATAAAGTATGTTCGAAAATTTTTATTTTTTTTATGGAGAAAATGAGCAATACCTCCCACAAAAAAAATACCAAAAATCAATGGTAAGTCCAAGCTACTTGAAATTTGCACTTTGAATTGATCGGGCTATAAAACTGCATACCCGGAATGTTTCTAAGAAATCTAATGAAAAAGCTCAAAATTTTGATGAAACTTTCGCCACTATATCTACAGCTTATAGTATTTCACTAAACTCAAGTTAGAATCGTTTCACGAAAAAGAAAACAAAACTTACCAAAAAAAACAGAATAAAACGTAACCAAATATCATACAAAGTAAGACTGCTGGCTATGTTTATAGCTAGTTATATGGTCTACATATGTGACCTGGTCTACGAAAAGGGAGCTTACGTGCGAAAACTAGTTTTCTGTGAAAAAGCTGTTAAAAGTAAGCAACTCGTTTCGTCAGTTTCTCATTATCTCGTTAATTGTTCTCCGCGCCGGATGTCCAGTAAGTGTTGTTGTTGGTCCAGTAAGTGTTGTTGTTGGTCGGAATATTATTATAGTTCATCGTGTAAGTTGCTAGTGTGGAACATTTAAAAAAGTAACACTGAAGAAGTGACGTTTACTGTTTCTGTTGATTATCGTCTTCGCATTTCGCATGAAATGAAACATGAGTGTGGATGAGGAGTTCAGTGCCGTATACGGACAAAACTACTCAGCATTATTATTTTTGGCCCATAATACGTTTTTCTAGTGTATAATCATGTCTTTATAGCTTATAATTCAATGTATTTTGTTCATTACCAATAAATTATATTTTATCGTATTTTTACTCTTCTTTCTCTACATTTTTAGTACACTTCTAAGCAAGTTAGGATTTTCTGCCTTTCACCACGTGAAAAAGCATCTCATCTTCCATCCGAAACAACCAAAAAGTGAAGATTGATTTGTTGACACCTAAGCCGCCTTTCGTAGACCAGCTCACATATATGTATATATCACTTTTATTCCCTTAAAAGATATTAATAAAAACTATTCACTACTAATAGTAATACAAACAAGTAAGAGCAGCGCTGTCTTCGGCTATGCCGAAGGCTTCATACCTTTCATGAACATCTGCAAATTTTACTTTGACAGATTACTGCTTTTGAATACATCTGCATACATCGATAGAGGAGTTACATACTTATATAAAAAATCGCATCTAAACAATCAGAGGTATGGAAGATATACTTTATATGACACCAATCTAAGTGATTTTCACCGCTATGTGATCGGTATGTAAACCGGTAACACAATTTATTGGGTTTAGTTTCGTACATAAAGGAGATATATGGCAAAAACTGGTATCTTAACAATCAGTGCTATAGGAGATAAAGCTTATAAAGCATAGATTTTGACGATTTTCTCAGTAGACTTTGTATTATTATTTATAAAATATCTTACGAAATTTATCGGTTTTAGCTGTTCAAATAAAGGAGTTTTACAGTAAAATCCCATATCTGAACAATCAGATGTATGGAAGATATATGTTGTAGTCACCCGATCCTTGTTATTTTCACTGTACGTATTCTGTCAATAATGAGTGAAAATCGTGCGAAATTTCATGTTCCTAGCTGCATAATGGAGGAGATATGATAAAAGACCTCATATCTGAACAATCAGTTGTATGGGGGCTGCAGGTTATAGTGACCCGATCTTCGTTATTTTCACTGTAAGTCTTCTGCTGATAATGAGTGAAAACAGCGCGAAATTTCATGGTCCTAGCTAAATAAATGGATGAATTATAGCGAAAAATCTCATATCTGAACAATCAGTTGTATGGGAGCTATAGGTTATAGTTATCCGATCTTTTTAATTTTCACTGTAAGTTTTCTGTTGATAATTATTGAAAACAGTGCGGAATTTCCTGTTCCCAGCTTTATAAATGGAGGAGTTATAACGGAAAATTTTATATCTGAACAATCAGTTGTATGGGAGCTATAGGTTATAGTGACCCGATCTTTGTAATTTTCACTGTAAGCATTCTGTTGATAATGGGTGCAAGTGCTGCAAAATTTCATGTTCGTAGCGGCATAAATGGAGAAGTTATAACGAAAAATCTCATATCTGAACAATCAGTTGTATGGAAGCTATATGTTATAGTGGTCCGATTCTTCCGGTTCCGACAAATGATTAATACATTATAAAAATACACCCACCTACCAAATTTGATCCGGATATCTCGAAAACTGAGAGACTAGATTGCATACAAACAGACGGACAGACGGACAGACGGACAGACGGACATGGATAAATCAACTCAGCTCGACGTTCTGATCATATAAGTATACATTTTAATGGGTCTATCTCTTTTTGTTCTGGTACTTACAAACATCGGACCAAAGTTATAATACCATTTCATGCTCATGAAAGGTATAAAAATAGTTGGTCATAATAGTATTATAGACAAGTCCACAACACACTCGAAAAATTGGTTTATTAACTATATCACCAATGAGTTTTTGTAAAATATTGAAGAATTAAAGCCATAGCTAAAAGATGTTTTGGTACATTTTTTACGTTTTGGTACACTCTTTGGTACAGAACACAAGAAGTAAGTGGCAACCGTGTCTATGTTATCGGGTAACTTTGGACCACGTGAACCTGAAGGGTGGTACATCAAGGGCGGTCCCATAATAATATGGTTGAGTTCCGATCATTGCATCTTGGAAAAATGTATGGTAATCCGAAATTATTATATGTATGACCATTGAAGTGGGTTGTTTTTTTTTTTGCTAAAAACCACAAAATTCGTATTACATTAAATCATACAATAGACCAAAATAGCCTTAAATGCTTTAGTTAAATATTTCAGTTAGATACTATCAAAATCCTATTTACAATATGCATACATACATACTAAATGCATAAAAAGGCGTAGATCTTTGCCACATATATTAAGGTGGTCCAAAATAAGAAAAGTCGGAATTTTAATGCTCTCACCCACTAGAATTGTTCTATATCGAAAACAGTATACCCTATTTTTGAATTTGAAATCAAAAAATATTTAGAGGTCGCTCAAAGCGCTCAAAGTTATCCATCTATTTTATATGGGGAGAAAACAACTTTTCGTGGAAATGGTATGAAATTCTTGAAAATCAATATTTTTCGATGGAAAAACTTTTGATTTCAAAATAAACAAGTAAGAGCAGCGCTGTCATACCTTTCATGAACATCTGAAAATTTTACTTTAACATATTACTGCATTTGAAAAAATGTACATATATATTCACAGCATACATACATAAATAGAGGAGTTACATACACATATAAAAAGCCTTATCTAAACATTCAGAGGTATAGAAGATATGCCTTATATAGCACCAATCTAAGTGATTTTGACTGCTGTGTGATCGCTATGTAAACCGGTAACATAATTTAATAGACTTAGCTTCCTACATAAAGGAGATATAACGCAAATCTCGTTTCTGAACAATCAGTAGTATTGGAGATAAAGCTTATACAGCATAGATTTTGACAATTTTCTCAGTAGAC